CATATATTGTATATACAATCGAACAAAGCAAAAAGTAAATAAATAAATAAATAAAGGAAGAAAGAAAGAAACAAAGAAACAAACAAAAAAACAAGAAAATAAATAAATACATAAATACAGAAACAAACAACCAAACAAAACAAATGAATAAATAAATGAATAAATAAATAAATAAACAAACAAATAAATAAATAAATAAACAAATAAATAAATAAACAAATAAAAAAGCAAAAAAACAAACACATGGTGTGCAGCTACAATAAGCAATATGAAGCCCCTCTACGATTCTTTTTTTTTTTTTTGCTTTTTTTTGTTTTTTAATTTTATTTTTGTGTTTTTTTAATTGTTTCTCCGGTATATTTAGTTTTAATTTTATATTTTTCTTTTTTTTTTTGTTGTTTTTGTGTTTTTTTTTTGTGCATGGAGCTGCCTATACACCCCAACCCGAGCTGCCTATACACCCGAGAGTGGCGGTGAGTTTCTTACATTATTTTTTTGTGTTTTGTTTTCTTTGTTTTGTTGGTTTTTATCAGTATTATATTTATTTTTATAATTTAAATTATTTAAATTATTGTTTATTTCTTCTTGGTTTTTATTTGTTTCTCTCTTTAGCTCAGCTAGCAGCTGTGCTGCTGCTGCTGCTCCTTCTGTTCTCTCCTCCTCTATGCTGCTTCTCTCTATTCCTGTTGTTTCAACTAAAAAATCAGCGATGCTTTTTCTTGCTTTTGATCGTCTTCTGTTTTTGCTGCTGCTGTATTCACCAGCAGCACTGCTGCTGCTATCTGCTCCTGCTGCTGCTGCTGCTGCTGCTGTGGTTGTTGCTGCTGCTGCTGCTGCTGCTGAGGGTTTTGTTGCGTCACCCTGCCTCGCTGGTGCAACCTGAAAACGAATACGATCTGTAGATACACCAGAAGAAGATGACACATTCATCTTTCCTTCTTGTTTGCTGCTGCTGTTTATCTCCTGCTGCTGCTGCTGCTGCTGCGGTTGTTGCTGTTGCTGCTGCTGCTGCTGCTGCTGCGTATTTCCCTCTGCTGCTCGCTTCGCCGCATCTGCTGCTTTGCTAACACCACCACCAGCAGCAGCACCAGCAGCAGCAGCAGCAGCAGCAGCAGCAGGAGCAGCAGCAGCAGCAGCAGCAGGCGGGGTGTCTGGTGTATCTGCATCAAAAGCAGCAAAAGCCTCAGCCCCATCTGCTGCTATCTTTTTTCCTTCGCTCAGCAGCACAAAAATTTTTGTAAATATATTGAGGGTTCGTGTGTCTATAGACTCTTCATCTATTTTAATATTATTATTTATATTATTATTTATATTATTTATATTATTTATATTATTTATATTATATAAATTATTTTGTTTTTTGTGTAAACAAAACCAATCTGCTGCAGCAGAATGACATGCAGCAGCTAGCTGCTGTATACGCTGCTTGCTGCAGCTTTTTATAAATACTACTGATTCCACTTTGTTGCTGTTGTTTATATTTTTATTTATATTTATATTTATATTTGTATTGTTGTTTATATTGTTATTTATATTGCTGCTGCTGCTGCTGCTGCTGCTGCTGCTGTTGCTGCTGCTGGTGCTGTTGGTGCTTGTCGGCGTAAGCTGCACGCAAACAGCAAAAAAAAAAAAATAAAAAAATAAAAAAAATAAAAAAAATAAAATAAAAAAAATAAAAATAAAAATAAAAATATATAAATAGATAGATATAAAAGGAAGGAAATATAAAACATAAATTAAATGCAAACAAAACAAACAAGGCACAATAAACAAAAGAAAAATAATAAAAGTAAAAATAATAAAAATAAAAATAAAAATAAAAATAAAAAAAATAAAAATATAAAATAACGAAATTAATTAAAATAATACAAGTAATAAAAAGAAACAAAAACAACAAAAACAAAAAACAAAACGAAACAAAAACACAAAAAAAAACACAAAAACAAAGCAAAACAAAAACAAAAACAAAAGCCAAAGCAAAAAAAAAAGAAACAAAAAACAAAAAACAAGACAAAAACAAAAACAAAAAAGAAACAAGACAAAAACAAAAACAAAACAAAAAACAAAAAAAAAACGAAACAAAAAACAAAACAGAAAACAAAACAAAAACAAAACAAAAAATAAAAAAACAAAAAACAAAAACAAAAACAAAAACAAAACAAAAAGCAAAAAAAAGAAACAAAAAACAAAAACCAGAAAAAAAAAAAAAAAAAATATGT